CCTCTCTCTCTCTCTATATATATATATATATATATATATATATATATAATATATATATATATATATATATACAAAATTGCAAAAAATGGTCCCTGTGGTACGCATTTTTTTGGGGTTTTAGTCCAAACTCCGACTTTTTTGGATTAGTGGTCCTTTTAAGCTAGTTTCGTTGCAGATTTGGTCCCTCGGTAAACAGAAATGACTGTAATACCCTTCTGATTTATTTTTTATGTTTTTTTTATTTAATTTAAATAAAAAAGAAAACAGTTAATTAATTTGGGTCCACATCTCTCTCTCTCTCTCTCTAAAGAAAAAGTCAAAAAACCCACCCCAATCCATCTTCTTCTTCCCAACCCATCTTCTTCTTCCCCACGTTTTCTACCTCATCTATTAGGCAATTAAACCTGTAAATTATTGATGAAGAACTATAAGCTACGCTGGAGTAAAAAAAGATGAATCAATAGGAGTTGGGAGCTTACTTGTACGAAGGGGATTTTCGTGTATAGGGGAACGGATAAACCATCGATTAGTCCCTGATGCACACGATTTAGTCTCGGTGATGCATATGTTGAGGCATGGAAGCCTTACCCTTGAAAAAGGTAAGGGGGGTTTGAAGAACACCCAGAAAAATTTCATACTCATGTCGTTCAAGTTTTACTTTGGGTAAGTCGTAATCTTGCAGCTTTACTGGGGACCGAATTTCTTTAGGAGGTTTTTATGAGGATAAAACACATTGTAAAAATACAACATGTCCATCATCTTCTCCATCTCACGCACACAGCTGAATCGATTAGGTTCATTTTCAGATACAAAATCTCCCCAACAACATTCATTCTTCATTTCACATTATCAGATCATCCCCAATTTCTGATCTCCACAAGTAGATATCTTAGATATCTAAAAAATTGGTGAATGTAGTCATTCTTAGATCATGTAGTCAACGTGTTCGATGAAATGCTTATGTGGTTTCTTGCAGTTGCATGAGGATCTACAAACAACTAAAACATCAAGATGTATGGTCGGAAGGCTTATCAACTCGTTAAAGAATTCACAAACAACGAATCTAGGCAGCTCACCACGATGAGAGGTCAAAAAAAATGACAAACATGGGTTATTGATCCAGAGCTCTTGGGTATAGGAAATGTTATTCTTTGGGGCATTTTGTCGAACACCTTGTATGCATGACTCATATCCATTTTTTTTCTAACATGTTTGTTAAACACACACACACACACAAAGAGGTCCTTTATTATTTTTTTAATTGTTAAAATAAATAAATAAATATTAAATTTTAAGAAAAATGAAAAATAAATACCCCAAGGGTATTATAGTCCTTTCAATTTTCAGAGGGACTATTTTCACATACAAACCACTCTAAAAGGACCATGAATCCAAAAAACTGGGGGTTTGGACTAAAACCCCAAAAATTTGCATACCATAGGGACCATTTTTGCAATTTTGTCATATATATATATATATATATATATATATATATATATATATATATAGACACACACACACAATCTCTCTCTCTCTATCTCTCTCTCTCTCTCTCCCTCCCACTCTCTCTCTCGCACACACACAACAATAATAACAACAACAAAATACTAATGCCATATAAAAATAGTATAAGGAGTAAGGTATGGAGTAAGCAACCTTGTGTCCCCTGAGAGTAGATGGGCTTCTTCCAAAATATGTATTTGACTATATGGTAAGAGTACCAAAATAAAGTTGTTAAATAATCTATAAAGGCTGTTAATATAATGGATAAAATTATATGGACAAATAGATACTATATATGGATACACAACAATGCTAAAATATTATATATGAAAGTATAAAATTTTGCTAACCATGTCTACTACCCTAGCTTTATGTATTAATAAAAAAATATATAAAAATTGCAATTATAAGTATAGAAGGATAATCATGGTAACTACAACATATACTACTATACAAACCTAATTTTAAGCCTCAACTAGTTGCAATTAGAGGTCATGTATTCAGAAAGACACAACTCTTTCATGAATATTCCCAAAATATCATTCGATGTCCTCTTCGAGTATCTTCTCATCCTTGTTCCATATTTTGATATGGGCTTACATTTACCTTTCATTCTTCGTTGTACCCTACTATTACACACAAAAGTATAGTGGTCGCCTTTCATTCTAACTATATCACCTTTATACAAAATGTAATATTATCGTTTATATACCGTCCTTGTAGATCATATATCCCAAATACTTAAAACCCTCATTTGGGTGAAGGACATGCCTTATATACTTCCACCCCCTCAAAATTAGCCCCCTATCAAAATTACGACAAAGAAATTATGTCTTATCTTAATTAATATTTTTTCTTCTAGTATTGTCCTCCACATATTGTACACAATAGAACCAACATAATATCATTAGAAAAGTCATGGACTGTGGCACCTACCTTGAATATTTGAGAGATCTCATCTCGAATCATACTAAAAATGTATTGGTGAAGTATTATCCTTATTAAAATCATGTTTCCACAAAGTAATACTCTAAGTCCCCTACTAGATTTCAAAGATAGGTCTATAACTACAAATACACAAAATACATACATATATGTATGTACACATATCAAGTAAAAAAGGACAAAAAACGATAAACACAATTTAAGAAAAAACTAAAAACAACAACAATAAGAAAAAAACATATATATATATATATAATATATATATATATATATAATATATATATATATATATATATAAAGAATGAGGTAAAGGGAATGCAATACCTAGGTATTAAGCCTTTACTCGAAGGTAATAAGAATGCTTTGATCGATGAATTTCAACATGGAAAAAACATTAGCTCACATTTGAATACAAAAATTTCCACCCATAATGGTCAATAAAAATGGTAAGCGACTAAAAAACATTTATTAATATTAAGGTTAGGACTTGGGAGTAAAGAGGGGAAAATAGTAAGTAAATACATGTATAAGTAATACAAATAGTGAAAGATTTTTTTTGAAATACATCATTAAATAGATACTAGCAATACAAATTTGAAAGTAAATAGGTAAAAAGTAAGAAAGAATATTATATGGAAACCACAAAGAATGGAAAGGAAATTAATACTTAAACCATGTTTGTACTACTCTACTACCCCAATTTTAAGACATAACACTCTTTTATGTGAGGTCATGTCATCGATAAGAGCCAACTTGTTTAAGTTGACCTTACACTATGTTCCCGCTTCATTCTCGGGGTGTATTCTCCTCCAAATATTACCAACATCGATAATCTCTACATTCCTAATTGTAACTACCAATTTTCTAATTGGATATGTATGAATCGCCACAATCTTCCTTACCTCAAATCTATAGGATCGACATTGATCCTAGTAGTTTTTCATGTTCGATGGATAACATCTTAATTGATACAATTTCCATGTTTAGTGGCTAATATTTAGATCCATACAATAAAGCTAGCCTTACAACAACTATGTAGAGTTTTCCATTAAGTTTAATCAGATCTTTTTGTCGTACAAAACTCATGTGGTTACCCCTTCACTTTAACCATCTCATATTTAAGCGGTGAATAACATCATTCTTTACACTCCTTTCCTTTATAAACCATAGTAAATGATAGTTGTCAAAACACAAATGAAATATTCACCCCTTTTGTAACTATTCAAACATTTTTCTAACCATTAACCTGAATATACAAACCAAAAGTTGGTTAATAATATAAAACACGTTGCATAGGGTGTATTTATATTGTTTCCTCTTAAAATAATATTCCAACACCCATAAGTAATAACTCTTATTTGCATTGTGAAGATTGTGATTACCTCATCAATGTTATACATGATACATGATTCGTCTGGATACCTAAGAACGACACCAATAGCGAATCTAAAACCAAAAACCCATGTTTTGAAAATATAATTGGACCGGCCGGTTCAACCAGGAACCGGTTCTTATAGGCCAGAAAACCGCTCATTATGTTAAACCGGTAAAAACCGGTTTGGTTGAACCGGGAAAACCGGAAATTTTAAATTTTTTTTTTTTTCATTTTTGGTAATTTTTATAAAATTAAAATTAATAATAATATAATTATGACATCATCCGGTTTTTTCAGTTTTTGAGACCGGTCCAACAGGTTGGATCAATTGAACCATCGAGCTGGTAAAACAGCCGGTTCGGTCTACGGTCCGGTTTTCAAAACATTGCCAAAACCATGTGGTTCCTAATGTAAATGAAATTGAAAATATAAAAGAGTAAAAAGTACTAGTGGTGGCGGGTCGGGTTGTAAATAAGTGGATTGGTTGTGGTTTGGTGGAGGGGATGACAACAACAGAGGGCGACTAGGTAGTGGCTGATGGCATGGCTGGACGACGACCGTGAATGGAAGTCGGTAGGAGAAACAATTGAACACTTAAGGCCGTGAAAGTCGCTGAATCGCTGAATGACGTTTCCAATTTGTTTTTGTTTAATTTTAGATGGACCAACTAAGACATTGGGCTATTCAAAATGTTTATTGGGTATAAAAAATATAGACTCATTTATATTTATTTATTTTTCATAAAATCATTAGGTAGTTTCTTTAAAAATAATAAAATAATTCCTATTTTATATGAATATATATATATATATATATATATATATATATATATATATATATTTTTTTTTCTTATATGATTTAAAAAAAAATAGATTTCAGAACCTACCTTCACTAGTTTAGATACGCCATAAATGACAAATAATAACACATAACCATTTTTAGGAACAGGTGAGCCCTATCTAATTTATTTTATTTTATTTTTTTTGTAAATAAGAAGTGTTTTTATCAAAATCAAATAACTAAGTAAGAGAGAATACGTAAAGTAAAATTTAATGTCAAGTATTGCTCATGAAAAGGCTATTTGTAGAAAAAATAAAACAATCGTGGCCAAAGTTGAAAAAGATAAAGAAGAAGGGTAAGCTTAGAATATAAGAATAAGAACACTACACAGATTGAAATGAGAAAAGGTACAGCTAAGACACAAATCGATGCAATTAAGACTTTGACTTCAGTCCGCAAAACTCAAATCAGAAAAACCACCGGAAAATTCAACCTCAGGACGGTTCCAATTCCGATTCACCGCTTGTCTACAATGCACCAGATGACGTCCTTCTCCCTCAGGTTTCCCACAAATATTTTTCTGTTTTTCCATTAGAAAAAATGGCGCTTAGATCCATTTCTCTGTTTCTATGCATGCCTAATTGTTAGTAGCGGTTTAGATATGATTCAGGTGAGTGATTGCCCAAACTTTTTAGCGCCTTTAATTTAATTTCTCAACCAAACTGCTTTATGGTAAATTTTACTAAGTTCTGTAGCTTGATTAGACTCAATTAGGTAATTCGAGTTTGTTTATTTGGCATTTTGATTTACTTTTGCCGAAGTTGTTCGTTAGGGTTTATTTTGAGGTTTATCAGCCTTAGTTCCTAGGTTTTCATTTTAAGGTTAAAAACCTAGGGTTTTGAATTTCACAAAAACCGTTGGATGTTGATATTGATGCCAAAACTGGGTTTTAAGAATCCTCTAGACAAGGTTGAATTAACTGCATTCTATCCCATACCAGTTTGTTTAGGCTAAACAGAAAGCAATATGAAATATAAAGAGGTAAACCCCATTGACATTATTAAAGAGGTTCAACTGATCAACTCCCATAAGATTTAGAAGCATATTCTTTTATGCAAACCTTTTGCATATTTTACTTAGGTGCCTTTTTATTTTGACTCAATGAATACATTAGTGTTTCTTTTTGACTTAATGCATTAACAATGACCTAATAGAGGAAGTCAGGGAAATGAGGCTTCTGTGCTAAGTTCTAAACTTTTTACAAATTTAACATCATTCACTTTTTTCATTCCATTTCCCCATGTTTGTTGTAATTTTTCACAACATGTTATCTTATCATGACCCATGGTTATGCCATGTAAATAATAACAAGTTTACTTTTTGTTATGAAACATACCTATGAGCTTGAATTAGACTTTTTAACCAGTAGAAATGGATAACTGTCGATGTTGATTTTGTAGTAATGGCTATACAAAGATGAAAATGCAGCCAGCCCTTATGAGTTCATTATCTTTTGTTGTATTACTTTCTTTACAACTTGTTAATTCCAATCTTAGATTTAGTGTGATTTTGGTCCTCTAAGTGTTTGTTATTTTGTTATATTCCATATTTAGGTAAACATGTTAGTTTGTTATTCATTTAGGTTTGTTGTAGAGTTTTGGTTGCTTTGAGATGGTGGGGTCTGAGAAAGAAAATGGTTCTTCACCAGCACCACCGTCACAGAAGGCGGATGTGAAGAAGAAGTATGGTGTGGTGAACCCAATATCATATGCGGGACCCACTGAGGCTGACCTTCACAGGAATGCACTCTTGGAAAAGGTAGACACTGGTCTTCCTTTGTTTTTTTTTCCAATTAAATTCGTTTGTTACTTATGTCCAAGTTTTTCTTTTTAACTTTTCAATGATTGTTTTACTTGTGTTTGTTGTAAGCTTTTGATGGAGTCAGGGATATATGAGAGCATGGAAGAAACCGCAAGGAGAGAAGAGGTTCTTTGTCGTCTGGATCAGGTAATTGTAACCCTCTTGTATTTATTGTTATATTCTATGAGGTTAAATGCAAAAAAAAAAAAAAATAGCAATTTACTTTCATTGAATTGTTTAATTCAGCATCCTACTTGCATTTCTTCCCTCGATCCCATCACAAAACACTCTACATTGAAAAATCTAACAAATTATAGCATTTTCCTCCAAATACAAAAAGTACAAAACATTATTCACTGCTATAATTGAGTATATTTTTCAACTTATAATCTCCTACTAAGATATTTTTTTGTTAAAGTACAAGTTTTAATCGGTAGATGTTTCAAGTATAGCTCTTTAATAAGAACAATATTGAAAGTAGAATGTTGTAACAGAAATATGAAACTAAAGTTACTATTTCTTGCAATGTATTTGTAGCCCTATTCTATTTAAGACATAATGTGCTCATCACTACACCTCCTTCCATAATTTTGTAATCAGTTTGGATATATATAACATTTAGGAATCCGTGACACATTGCAGCAGATACAGTAAGTAACCATTTATTTTGCAGTGATCATTTTGAAACATTTGTTTTGTAATTTGTTCCAGATTATTAAAGATTGGGTGAAGCAGTTAACACGCCAAAAAGGGTACACAGAAAAAATGGTTGAGGAGGCAAATGGTATTGTACGTACCTTTGGGTCTTATCGCCTAGGGGTAATAGCCTCTACTTTTTTTTTTTTTTCTTTTTTTTTTTTTTTGAATTTAAAATTGTACTTTTAATTCGCAACATAAAAGGTCAATATCATTATATCACAGCTTATTTGTGTCTTTGAGAATGTAAAGAAGTAATCATAATAAAACACTGAGACATTTTTGTTACAGGTACATGGTCCTAATGCTGATATTGATACACTATGCATTGGGCCCTCATATGTGACTCGAGAGGTGATTTAATGAATTTATCTCGACATTTTTCTCATTTATGATGGATGTATTCATATCTATATGTTTTAACCAATTTTCCCAATTTCTTCTTATCAGCATGATTTTTTTGTTATATTGCATAATATTCTGTTGGAGATGGAAGAAGTATCGGATCTTCAGCCAGTTAATGATGCACATGTTCCTGTGATGAAGTTCAAGTTCCAAGGAATATCCATTGATCTTCTTTATGCCAGTGTATCTCTATTGATTGTTCCAGAAGTAATTTCCTTTCCACATTTGTCCACATTTACTTATTTGCCCCTATATTTGCATCTTATGTGGTATATTTGATAGAAGTAGTACTGGTAGCATACTAGCATCACATGCCATGATTTGAGTAGTAATAGCACATGATGATTTATTACTGTTATGTTTTTGTTTCTTGTATGTTATTCTTATGATGTGATAGTCACTGAATATTTAGTGATATAATTATAAGGTAGAAACAATTAATTGTATTGTTTTATGTGTTTGAGTTTGGTTTTTTTGTTTGTGAAACTAACTTGTGACAGGATTTGGACATCTCTCAAAATTCTGTGTTGTACAACACTGATGAGAAAACGGTTCGAAGTCTTAATGGATGTCGGGTTGCTGATCAAATACTTAAACTTATTCCAAATGTAGAGGCATGTATTGTGGTCCATAATATATATATATATATATATATATATATATATATATATATATATATATATATGTATATATACCCTTACATGCTTACATTATTGGTATTTGACATCTATTCATATGCCTTTAAAAATTTGTAGAACTTCTGCACCACACTTAGATGCTTAAAGTTTTGGGCTAAGAGGCGTGGCGTTTATTCAAATGTAAGATTTTTATTCTATGCTAATTTTTATTTTTGAATTGTGTTTTGAGTAAATTACAATTTTGGTCCCTGTGCTATATCAAATTTTTTGGATATGGTTCAAAGAGGAATCTTTTGCCTTTTTTGTTCCCAATTCACTGTTTCACAACACTTTTTTAGTCCCTCAGACAGTCACCGTTTATAAAAGGTTCCTAAGCCTAGACAAGGGTGTTTCGGTCATTTCACCCCCCTCCATAATGATGATTTTTGAAAAGCCCTATAACTGACAGTTGGTTATGGTTTCTGAAAATGATGGTTAAAGTGGTGGTAACGTTAAAGAGATAAATGAAATGACCTAAATGCCCTCTTCTGCAAGGTATGACTATGTTATCGGGCTTAACATCCTTTTATAAATGGCATATGTCCCAGTGACTAAACGTTTTATGAAACATTGAATTAGGGACGAAAAAGTGGTCCTTTTTGGATATGGACCAAAAAAGAATATTTTTGCCCTTTTTGTTTTTTTCTTCCATAATTCACTTTTTTATAACACTTTTAGTCCATGAGATGAGACAGACACCATTGTAAACAGCTTTAAATTCATAATTCACTGTTTCATATCTCTGGATGACTCTGGAAAACCATATATTTGACAATTGTGGATGATTTGTGAAAAACCTCTTTGTAATGATGATGAAAGTGGACATAAATGGAATGAATTAAATACCCTTATGTACAAGTCATGTGATAGGACTAAAAGGCCTTCTTCTATAAAAGGCGTGTTATGGAACAGTGAAAATGAATACAACACAGGGACCAAAAGTGTAATTTAGTCATGTATTGTATTATGAATGATATAATAGTTAATGATGTAGTGAGGTGTTTGTTTGTTGATTTAGGTTACTGGATTTCTTGGTGGAGTGAATTGGGCTCTTTTAGTTGCTCAGGTATGCCAGCTTTATCCCAATGCAATACCTAGTATGCTGGTTTCCCGTTTTTTCAGAGTCTATACCAATTTGGCGTTGGCCAAACCCTGTCATGCTATGCCCAATTGAAGAGGATGATCTTGGATTTAACGTGTGGGACCCACGGAAATGGTCCCGTGATCGAACCCATCTCATGCCCATCATCACTCCCGCATACCCATGCATGAACTCTAGTTACAATGTTTCCGCAAGTACCCTTCGTGTTATGGTGGAACAGTTTCTCTTTGGAAATAAGGTTTGCGAGGTAAAACTAAAAAAAAAAAAACTCTCACAATTTTACCGTTTTACCCCTGTTTGATCTGAGCTGGCAAAAGACTTGAATGCCCTTCTCTCTCTCTCTCTCTCTCTCTCTCTCTCTCTCTCTCTCTCTCATCAGAGCCCTAGAAAGGAGTGGACAAGTTTTCTAGGGCTATTTTGAATTTTCAATGACAAGGGGCATTTATGTCTTTTTGCACATTGAGATCATTTGGTAGACTATTGATGTTGTTTCTTTTTGGATGAAATTTAGGAGATTGAGTTGAACAAAGCAAATTGGAGCTCTCTGTTTGAGCCTTCTCTTTTTTTCGAGTCGTATAAAAACTACTTGCAGGTAGACATTGTAGCTGCAGATGCGGATGATCTTCTTGCATGGAGGGGATGGGTGGAATCCCGCCTTAGATTACTTACTTTGAAGGTTTTAATTCATATTTCTCATCTTTCAAACTTTTTTACTTTGTGTTTCGTTATGTATGATGGAATCAGAGAAGGAATGGAATTGTTCATTCCATTGGAATCAAAAGAACCGGTTGTTTTCTCTGATGGTATGGACCATTAGTTTTCATTTCAATATAACCCATTTTATTCAATTTATTTGTTAATGACGAATCTTTTTTAAAAGAATACATTTTTTTTTTATTTATCATAATCATATATGGGTTTTAGTAAGTTAACTGTCTGAGTGACTGTAAATGACCATTTTACCCTTAGTATCTGTTTGGATTCCGTACAATAAGTCAAGGGTAAAATAATCATTTACTATCATCGAGTGCAAAAAAGAAACAGTCTTGGTTGTTTGTTGGTACTTTTCAGATACAAAGGGTAAAACGGTCAAAAAGATGTCTAATCCATGTTTCCATTTTCCATGGTTTTTCAGATCGAACGCGATACAGACGGGATGTTACAATGCCACCCTTTCCCAAACGAATACATCGATACATCAAAACCATGTTCCCATTGTGCTTTTTTTATGGGTCTTCAAAGGCAACCTGGAGTCAAAGTTCAAGAAGGTCAACAATTTGATATCAGGGCAACTGTAGATGAGTTTAAGCAAGGAGTAAACAGTTACAACCTTTGGAGACCTGGAATGGACATTTTTGTGTCTCATGTACGTAGGAGACAACTTCCTACATATATTTTTCCTGAAGGGTATAAACGTCAAAGACAATTAAGGCATACTACTACTACTACTCCTGAAGGCTCAAGCTCTCCTTCATCTGAGAAGCGTTTCAAGAGGAAACATGATGCTTCTTCTGGACCTGGAAAACCGAAGAAAACGTCTTTTGGGAGCCCGGAATGTGTGGGAATTGGAGGGAGTAGCATTCCAGTGAACTCCGGAATTGAAGATATTGCTTGTGAGGTGAGTTTTGTAACTTGAGGAATTTTCTACTGTTTTATGTTTACTTTCCTGTCCTTGTGTGAGACGATAAGATTATTGGAATAAAAACAGATAGATAGTGTTTGGTGCGATGGAATTGAGGAAGGAATGGAATGGTTCATTCCAAAAGCTGGCTGTTTTGCTTGATGGAATGGAATGAACCATTTTTGAAGGAATGTGTTTCCTCCCATTTTGTGAATTTTCATTTCTTGGCTAGAGAATTTTTTTTTTTTTTTTTTTTTTCCATCATTGAACGGATGAAAAATGCAATATAACTATATAATCCATTTTTGTTTATATATAGTTATTATTATTTTAATTAGATCACAAATTACTTTTTTCAAAAATATTATTTTTATTGTAATTTATTGGGGTTTAATGAGCTTTTCTTATGTTTATTTATTTATGTTGATAAAAGTCGGAATGGAATGAAGAATTGGTTTATATTTTGTCTACAGTCTTCAATTACACAAAAGGTGGTATTGGAGTCTGAAGATGGAGCAAATCCCGAATCAATGCAGCCATCTGCAATAAGGTATCTTTCCTCTCTGTAGGAGGAGGGCATTTACGTCTTTTCTACAGACAAGAAAGCCGGACCTTGCGACACCTTTTTAAGGTGGGAGAAAAAAATTGCACAGGTTGTCCCATTGATATTAGTACCGGTTAGGGACATTGTGATTTACCTTTATCATGTTAGCAGTTAGCTGGGCCCCACATTTTATTTTCAAATGATATTTTATTTATTTTTTGTGGCAGGTTGAGCCTGGAATCAACAGCTTAAATTATTGAGAGCGGAAGTGTGACCTTTTAGTACTGACAACTTGGGAGTAGTAGTATGTAATTTACCAAGAATGAGGGCTTGTTCTTTAAATTTTAAATTTTAAACCTTGCAACTTTTTTCTTTCTTTCTTTTGTTATGGTTTTGGAATGTAATGGATTGAATCGTGTTTATCGTAGAAAATGTTATCATCACATTGTATCTTGTTAGTTTTAGCTCTTTTTCTTTAATTATTCTCATCACACTAATCCAATCTTGCAAAACTATAATCAAATGAACACAAAACTGTAGATAAGATGTTTAGGATTTTCATGCTCCATATACTTAACAATGCACAATACTCTTTGATCGTAAACCAAAATGATTTTACCTATGAATGATTCCATTTGAGTTGTATTTTATATTTTCGTAATGGAATCAATGGTTCAAAGTACGAATGTAAGATAAAAAAAACTAGGGGTCTAAATTACTAGAATTTGATACTCATGCATGAGTCTAAAATTGCCATTTTACCCTTTTACAAAATGTAAAATGAGCCTACTTCTGTTGCTTGATATGTGCATCGTAAACCCGTCATTATCTTTTTTATCACTAATTTGTCGTTAATTACTTCTGTTTACATGCAATCGCTGATGTCGTTAACCTGTCACTATTTTTCTATATATACACATAGAAATACACGTATACATACATATAACATGGATTATTATACATGTATACAAATCAATTTCACACTTGGGAAACAAGAACACCCTCGTTTTCATTGGGCCCAGTAACAGATCTTTCTCTTTTAAGAAGAGGTGCAACATCAAACTCATCTCTTCCCTCTTTCATTTCTTCAGGGAGTTCATCCATTGGATTACATCTTCTAAGAATCTCAAGAACATCTTTCATTGATGGCCTACTGGAAGGCAATGTGCTTGTGCAAATGAGCCCTAGTTTGAACACGGTGGTCATTTCCTCCATGTAAGTATCGGAGTCTTTGATCTCAGGATCACAGACTCCAACCATGGAGTCACTTTCTCCATGGTGCTTCCATGCCCATTCGGCTAGGTTTAGGTCTCCATCTTTTCCATTTGGTTCTTTTCCGGTTACTAGTTCAAGTAGCACTACACCAAAGCTATATACGTCTATCCTCTCATTAATTCTTGTTGTGTATGCGTACTCTGAAATTGAACATGTCGTACATGATGAGTTTTTGTGTAAAAACTGAAAACTGTAATTGAAACTGAAATAAACGATTGATTGGTTTAAGTTTTAAAGAAACTATTTTGTATGACCGTAATAATGGTAAAGAATGTGAGAATCCACAAGCAGTTAAAACTGAATATATGGACTTTTGTTGTGACAAAATCCATAAAGAAATGAAAATATTTGTTAATTTTGGCTTTTTAAATTGGGCAAATTCCATAAATATCACTATGCTATTTTATTTTTTTGTTTAACAAATGGAAGTTTTTTTAATTGTTTCTGGTTTAACCATTGAGGATTTTTTTAGAAAAATCTACATAAAACTTTGGATTATAGAAAAACCAATATATTTTAGAATTTGATCGGTTTAACCATTCTGATATATATTTTTTTAATTATTTAACCATTGAAACTAAAAATACATCTTTAACCCAAAAAAAATATTCTTCCAGTTGGTTTTTTTGCAACTTATTACCGAAAAAAAATTTACAGTGATTTTTCTGAAAAACAAACAAATTTCGATGTTTAAACTAGAAAAAAAATATTTTAGTCCAAAAAAACAAAACACCAAATTATAATGGTTTTTGATGACATTTAGGTATTTAATAACAAAAAAAGCATTGTATTAAAATATGGTGTGTTTTGGTTTTAAAACAAAAAACCACTCGAACCTAAATAAACAGTATACTTTTAAAAAAAATCGATATTCTATTAACGTTTTTTGGTTAAAAAAAACATGATTTTTTTTTCTTTCTAGAAAAAAAAAAAAAGAAAAAAAAACCATACATTTTTGTTAAATAGTTAGGTTTTCTGGTTATAAACAATCCTTTATTTTTCTTTTTATTTTGTTTATTTTCCCGATTTATGATTCAATGGCTGTGTCAAAAGAGTTCATACCAGGAGCAAAGTAACCTAATGAGCCAACGATCGACGCCATATTATCATCACCAGGTTTTTGCTTCTCCAAGATCTGTGCCAATCCAAAATCCGCAATCTTTGCTTTAAACTCCGAATCCAACAATATATTGCTCGACTTCACATCTCGATGCACAATCACCGGCGAACAATCATGATGCATATAACAAAGCCCCTGGGCGGCGTCAATGGCAATCTGCAACCGCCGCCGCCAGTCCAACACGAAATGTGGAGGTTCCAAACGCAGCTCCATTTCCGGTTTCCTCTTCTTCCCATGTAACCACTTATCGAGACTCTGATTTTCCATGTACTCGTAAACCAGAAGCTTCGAGTTAGGGTTCGAAAGACAACACAGAAGTTTCACGATATTCGAGTGGCGAATGGAGCCCAAAATCTGAACCTCGGAGGAGAACTCGTTTTCAACATCCCGGTTGAATTTCTTGTTTGAAATCTGTTTCACGGCGACGAAACCTCGAGGCGGACCGACACCGATTCGGTAGACTTTACCGGAACCACCGGAGCCGATTAGATTGGCGTCGGTCATGCAGGATAAGATGTTTTCTTCGGTGAAATCGAGATTGTGGAAGGAGATCAGTTTCCATGTCGTTCGAGTCCGTTTAGGGTTCTTTTTTAAGTGGTCTCGGAACATGAACAATGTGAAGAGGATCGCGAGGAGTAGAAGGAAGGATGATAAAATGACGATTGTGGCGATGATTTTGGGCGAAAATTTCTTCCGGGAGCTTTTGGTGTAACAACTATGGAGATTGGAGATATGGGAAGTGGAACAGAGGTTTGGATTGTTGAAGAAACTGTTCTGAAACGCGGAGTTATCAAAAGCGGAGGGAATTTTTCCGGTGAGTTTGTTGGAAGATAGATTCAAACTGGTAAGTCTGAGATTACTCAATTGAGGTGGGATTTCGCCTGAGAATTGGTTTTCTGAGAGATCAAGTCCAAGAAGATTTGGTAAAGTACTGAGTGAAGATGGGATATCGCCGGAAAGTTTGTTTCTTGCGAGATTCAGAATGGTTAGCGAGTTCCAGGACTTGATCTGTGATGGGAGTTCACCGGAAAGTGAATTTCCGTCAAGATAAAGAACGGATAGCTCTGAAAGAGTAGTGAATTCAGGTGGGATGACGCCGGAAAACAAGTTGTTACTAGCTTTGAACACATTGAGTTTCATCCAAGAAGAAATTTCAGTCGGGATTTGACCTGAAAACTTGTTGTCACTGATTTCAAATCTAGATAAATTCCAAGCGACTTTACCAGGAAGCTCACCGGAAAACGAGTTTCCGGTGAGCAGCAAAGTTGAAAGATTTAATAATGTCCAAACTCCTGGAGGAATCTCACCGGTGAAGTTGTTATTATAGAGTTGGATACTGTTAACCTTGTTACAGCTCTCGTATGATCTTGGTATCTCTCCGGTGAGGCTGTTTGAGAAAACAATCACGCCTGTCAAAGCACCTCCGGCGCATAAACTCTCCGGCAACTTTCCGGTGAGGTTGTTCTCGGATACCTCAAATGATTCAAGTTTGGAGTGAAGTCCAAACTCCGGAGGTAATTCTCCGGTGAGATTGTTTCTAAAGACCCGGAAGGTCCTCAGTGTTGGAATTTGAGAAATACTCGGTGGAATCTGTCCGGAAAATCGATTTGAATACAAATTGAAAACCTCCAGTTTCAGCAATTTTCCAAAATCATCCGGAATCGAGCCGTTCAATCTGTTCATGGCGATATCGATTTGAGTCAAATTCTGAAACTGAATCAAGGAAGGAAGGTTGCCGGATAATTTGTTGAGATACAAAAACATAACATCCAGATTTGTTAAGAGGAACAATCCAGGAGGAATTTCACCTTCCAAGTAGTTTAAACTCAAATCTAACGATGTGAGATTGGCCAAATTCGATAATGATTCTGGAATATTTCCGACCAGATTAGTCGCCGCCATCCACAAAATCTTCAAACTGCTCAATTTTCCAAACTCCGGCGGTATCACTGGATCTGCAAATTCGTTATACGCCAGACCTAATGTTTCCAGATTTGATAAGTTTCCGATCTCCGGAGGTATACTTCCATTAAACAAATTCTGATACAATTGCAACGAAGTCAACGCCGAAATATTCCCGATTGCCGGAGGTATGTCGCCGGTAAAGTTATTACCCCCAAATTCAACGATTTGGAGTTGTGATAGTCGGTCAATGTCTTCCGGCAACCTTCCGACGAACAGGTTCTGTGAGATATCAAGCTCAACCAGCTTCGAGCAGTTATAGAAAACCCTAGGAAACTCTCCGGTGATAAAATTGTCATGGAGAATCATGTTTTCCAGGTTCCGCAGGTCGCAGATAAACGGCGGTATAGGTCCGGTAAGTTCCTTGCTTTTGAGTTGCAGCATGACGACGGAACCATTCCGGCACTGAACCTCCGGCCAGCTGCAAGGTGACGAGGTGGAGTTCCAATCTGCTAGTGACTGTGGATTTCCCCACTGTTGCTTGAGGTTAAGCAAGGTAGTTTGGTCTGAAGTCGAGAACTGTTGTGAACTTACGACGGAGGTGAGGAAGATGAAGACGAAGAATGAGAGGAGATGTGGTGGCGACGGCGATGCCATCTTTTCCGGTGGTGGTTTGTGTTATCGGAAAAACATATCGTTGGCGTGACCTTTTGACTTGGTTAGTTAACTTTTTTGTGACGTTCGACAGGCCGTCAGATTTGTTATGGTGTGTTTGGCCGCCGGTTTGATGTGGTGTGTCCAGAGAGGGCATCTACTTGTATAAACCCACTTGTAAGAATTTTATTAAAATATGGAATTAGGTGACCTTTTAATTAATTTATGCAACTTTAATTTATTACACACAAAAATTGATATAAAATTACTTTAAATCCAGTAATTTATAAAAGTAGTGCCAAATAAAATAGAGATAAAAAGACAAAATAGTTAATTTTTTTATATTTATTTTATAAAAAAACCAAAAACTAACAAAATAAGATTGGTCCTATGTGTTTTATATTTTATATAGTGAAAAAAAATTTAAATTTGTACAAATGGTTTAAAATTAAATTTTTTTTATCTATCCAACTTGAAAAATACTATTATTATATTTATTTATTTTTTATTTT